ACAGTGAGTGATGGTAGCATTACCACTGTGATAACTTGTACAGGAGGGGTGAAGGTTGTACAGCAAAGAGGCACAAGAATGGGGTGGGGGGGAGGTAGTGGAGAATGGGGGAATGGTGGTAGTCAGGCCTTGCTGGAGCTGAGCTCCTTGGTCACCTGGAATCCATGGCTGGGAGGGTGGCTGGATGTCCTCTGGGTTGAATCGGTGTGTGTATGCTTCTCGGTTGTTTGACCCCAAACTGCTGCTCTGTGTTTCTCAAAGAAGAATGCCCAGTGAACTTTTGGGGTAGGGGGGTATTAAAGTACAATGAGGTGTTAAATGCTGAGAGCAGAAGATAGCCAACAGGGCCAGAGATGACCTTCCCTGTTGTTGCAAAGACCCCTCGATGCCTGACATAGCTGTTAAAGGCAAAAGAAAGCACTCCCAGTTGCCCATGCTAGGCGCCCAAGCAATTATGAATTCCTTGCAAGAATCAGGGCCAGATTATGGGCTGAAATAGCCACTGGGGAGCCAGGGGCAGCATGGCCCAGGTGGGCACGCTGGTCAGGGCCATGCTGGGCAAGGAAGAATGTCCATGCAGGTAGCGGGCACTTCCCGGGGCTGTTTGCTACCTGCAGTGCTGCGACCAGGCAGCTGCAATTTGCTTTTTACCGGGCAATGAAATTGCTCCTGAGTGCCTAAGTAAGGCGCCCAAGTTGTTTTATATTCTCTGCATTAAGAAGGGGTGGATTATGGGCCAACAGTGCCACTGGCAATCAGGGTCACCCCCTGGGGAGCCAGAGGTAGCATGGCTCAAGTAGGCACCCTGGCCAGGGCAATGCTGGGTGGGCAGGGGTGTCTGTGCAGGAAGTGGCTGCTTCCTGGGGCTGGGGTGGGGCAGGTCCTTCCCCCACGCAGCAGCAGTTTAAAAATACGTGTTAAAAAGTAATGAAATTAGTGAAATGACACTCAATTAAATGTATTAAATTAATGAAATCACAACAGTTTTGGTCAGCTGTACATGTCAGTGACCTGTGAGTTAGACATCACCAACTGGTCTGTAGCAGGGATTAGCAGTTTGGCGGTGCCCCCTGCTGTAATTCAGTACCAGAGAGATCAGCAGGGTGGATTGATATGAGGCAGCTCCTGCAGTAATTTACTATGAGATTTATTCAATTTAAGAGATGTAATTACACAGTGACAGAACAAATTAAAACTCACCTTGTCAATTTTGGGGGCATAGAATAAACCCATTCAGTTTAGTGAGGACTAAATCCCTATCATGTGTACAAGCACCCTTGTATTCTAATTTCTCTCTGCTTCTTATGCTCTGCTTTCTGCACATCCTTTCACAGCATCTGATTAAATGAACTTGGGTGCACAAAAGCTTGTGCTCTCTCTCTATATATCTAATTTAGTTAGTCTATAAAAATGCATATCTACCCTGCCTGCTAAATAGATCAATGTCAGATAAGGCCTTCCCAGAGTGGAGAAAGTGCTCCAAGAAAGTGTGAAATCATATGTCTAGGCTGACTATCTTTTATGGGTTGGTGCAGTGAGATCTTGGGGCCAACTCTATG